CTGGGGAGTTGTTGCGCCGCCCTCCTCTTTTCCTTCTTCTTCTCGCAGCAGTGATTAAAGTGGTGGTGGGGAATTATTTGTAAGGGTTGGGGCCGCTCGGGCCCGTCCCAGGCTCTATATATTTTTTTACAACTAATTTAATATTGTTATTATTATTATTATTATTATTCTTAATCTCCGGTTGTAACTCGAACCATCAATCCAACCGATCACGTATTAAGGTCGAACCTAAATCCAAAGGTCGGTGTGTTACATTCATCCTAACAAAGCTTCAAATTAGTATGATACTCTCGAATGGACACATTTTCTTGCTTAACCAGGTCAATTTTCTCATGTAGATTTGCAATTCGAACTGAGTTAAGTCCATACTTCATATGCAACATTGATATTACGCATACTAGGCACAATATTCTCAGACACAGAATTTCTAATCCAACAAACCACAGTACAATTAACACGATCCCAGGTCCCATAGCTCGGATCAGTAACATGAGGTACCTCTATTGTGCCTGCGATGAACCCTAGCTTTTTCTTCGTTCTGAGGGCGACCTCCATGGACTCACTCCACAGAAGGTAATTGACATCTGTCAATTTGAAGCTGATGACGGGTAGGAAGGAATTGTCACTCTGGGCAAGATAAAAAGGGTTGGAATATGGATCTTCATAACGTGGTGATGAGATCTCCTTGTCTTTGCCTTCTTTCTCACTCGAGGTTCCATCTGCCATGGTGATGCTTCAGGGGAAGGTGAGGGTGAATGAGGTAGTACAGAAATCAAGCTGGTATGAGCCAACCAGGCTCTGATACCATGAGAAAGTGTATAACCTAGCTGCTGTGGTGTAGGGGTGGGCAAACGGTTCGGTAAACCCGAACCGAACCGAATTAAACCGAACCGAAACCGAATTAATGCTATTCGGTTTGGAATTCGGAAAGAAAATATGGATAGTTCAGAAATCAGGGTTCTTTCAACCGAACCGAATTTCCGAATTTCCGACCGAAAAACCGAAATACTATAATTGCAAGCTCCAAATGGTGGAGTTTTATGTTTGTAGTTGTTTTTAGACTTAAATATTTGAAATGTTTTATGACTTAAGTGTCAAAAAATTTGGTTTTATCATTGATGATGCATATAATTGATATTTATTGTTTATATTAGGGGTGAAAAATAATTTAAAAGTGAGAAAATACAAGTAGCTTCACAAATTCGGTTTTGTGTGAAAAACTGAACCGAGTCGAATTATAGTTCGGTTTAAACCGATCAAACCGAATTATAATTTGGTTCGAGTTCGGTTTGAGATTTGGGAGAATTCGGGGACCCGGTATTCATAATTTCGGTTCGGTCGAAACCGAACCGACCGAATGCCCACCCCTACTGTGGTGATAGAGTTTCAGAGAAGAAGAGGAGTCGAGAATGTGGGAATCGGCGGATAGCCTTCTCCATTTGTCATTGATTAGTATATACACAGAGAACTAATTACAGAGTAAAAATAAGCTACTGTACATTAATGGCTAAATCCAACTAACTATCAAAACTATGAATAGAGAGATGCCACATGTCTAACGACGGATGCTAATTACACAATTCAAATAGGCAGGTAAACGATAGCGTTTGGTCTCTTATTTATGAACCGGTTTCCATAGCCGAGTTGGGTGAAAGGAAGCCCGACTCGGCTGTCCTGCATCTTCACTCTGGAACAGCTGCAGGATCTTCTTCTTCCTTCTTCAATGGCTGTCTACACTTAGGGATGGCAAAAATATCCGTAACCGTGGATATCCGTTCGAATCCGGCCTAATCGGGTAGGGTAAAACCCGAATCAACCCGAATCCGAAGGACATTTAGTGGGTACGGGTAAAACCCGAACCCGAATATTGCGGGTAATGGGTGGGCATGGGTTTCTCACTATCCAACCCGAACCCGCCCGATTATACACATATATATGTATTTTGTCTAGAAATAATCATTATTTTTCTCTAACATATTTTATATTTAGCATATAAATATAATATTTTCATGAAATTGTGTTGTTTTAATTAATTTTCTTCATTCTGGTGAATTATTGTCATACTTTTCCTCTTATGTAATGTGAGAATACGTGTGAATGTTAACATATTGGTTGGAGTTATGAAGAGAAATCATTACCCATGAATAACCGTGGATACTCGAAACCCGAACGGGTATGCGTATGGTTTTAATTTTCTACCCATTTCACATATGGGTATGCGTAAAACCCGAACTACTTTGGGTAGGGTAACGGATATGCACTATCCGTCCCCGACCCGACCTATTACCATCCCTATCTACACTGCAGCTGTCCTTCATAAAGGGAAGTTGTACTGGTGGCGCTCGTCGGATAGAAGTCTAGTGTTTGATTCATTTGCTTCAGTTCCAAAGAGTAAAGGTGGAGTATCTGGAGGATATGGCCCATATGGGTACAATTTCTGAGTGTTTGTTGGAGGAGGATTCAATGGTAGTTCTTTGTTCCATTTATGACTGCCATTCAAAAAGGATCACATCTTGGGAGAAATGGGTGCTCCTGAAATACTGGACATCGGAGTCGTGGACCAAGTTATCTGTCATTGATGTCGAGCCGCCTCCTACAATGGTAGTTCTTTGTTCCAAAGCAAAATCTTTTGGGCGATGGCGGATCACTCGATGAGAAGGACAAACCTCAATGCTTCATCGTCTTTCATCCAGAGACGGGAGAATTTAGTCAGCTTGAAGTTCAGGGAGAAATATGGCATCATGTCATAACTAATTATGTACCTTCTCAAGTTTCTTTGCAGTGTGATTCTAGATAGACATGGATATCTGGTGGGTTGTTTTTGGGATAGGAGCTAGCAATGACTGAGTAGTTTGTAGTTTGCTTCAGTAGTGTCTTGATATGAACTGTAATGCTCCCGAAAGATATTCATTCTTTGCCAATAGATGATACTTGGGCTTTCTGTAAGACATGTTATGCCCTCTGTTTCCTATTCAATGAATGATATTTAGTAATGTGTGTTCGTCAAGAAGCTTGGAAACAGCAGAGTTTCTCTCTTGCTTACTTCAAAGATGTACTTCTAGTTCTATGTATGATTTTTCTGTTTAAATATATTGTAGCTAGTCCAATTGGCCTCTTCCCGGAGACAGTTCATTAGGATTAGCACTGGAATTTGATTCTTTGGATAAAATCTCCATAGTTTCCTGCATGAGATTTTGGATTTCATGCATCGATCAAGTCCTTAAACTTTCTGAAATGTTCTACTGCAGGAAACTATTTCTATAGTATCATGTATACATGTTTTGAAAAAAGCAGCCACGCTGCATTTGACTGCAAATTGTTAGTGTTGTGGTATATGATCCACGATTGAACCTCTCCCAACAGCTCGAGTTATTGGGATCAACTGGTTCTTGACATGGTATCAGAGCCTTCTATGACCGAGAGGTCTTGTGTTCGATTCCTGGTAGCCCCCATTTGTTATAGCACATGGTATTAAACCTATGCAAACTTCAAGCCCTTGTGAGTAGGGATGACAACAAAACCCGAACCCACGGGTACCCACCCGACCCAACCCGGTCAACGCGGGTAAAACCCGTGTTGACGGGTTTTGGGTCGGGTTCGGGTTTAAACCCGCTACACTATTCACCGGGTCGGGTTGGGTTTGGGTTTAGCTAAACCCGCCCCATGGGTACCCGCTCACACACATATAATTATTTTCCCGGTATATTTAATATTCTAAATAATATATCTTTCTTAAACAACTAATATTCTTTATGTTTGTGGAGACATGTATAATTTGTTCTTTCTAATTGTTTAAAATGAAGTTGATATTATGAAGTGGAGAGTGAAGAAACTTAGTTGACGAGGAAGAAGCTTTCAATTAATCTTATTGTTTATAGATGTTTATCTTTAATTTTGAACAATTTGTATTGATCATTTGCCGTTTGCTTGTATACTCTAGATTGGTGTCTTTTGTATGATTAATTTATATGAGAAAATTGATGTTAAACTTTTATTTTGAAAGAAACTTGTTATGGTAAATTTTTTACCACAAAAACCCACGGGTACCCACGAACCCGCGGATACCCAGCGGGTTGGGTTGGGTTTGAGTTTTTCAAACCCAACGGGTTTTACCCCGAGTTTTTTTTGGCGGATAAACCCATGGGTTTGGGTTTGAGAAAACCCGCCCCAACCCGACCCATTGCCATCCCTACTTGTGAGTGGCTTTTGTTTGAGGGGAACTGCAAACTGCTATCATTAACTTTTTTTTCTGGGTACAATGTGTACATTTCAAACTATATGGGGAAAATCAGTTTTTGTGAAACCGTGTCCTGCAGATGGATCATGCCTTTCTAACTGTGTTTTGACCGAGTTTGGTACAATTAGATCATGGTTTATTATGTCAGAATTTGATTGTTAAACCTTGAACCCTTGTCTATCAGTTTCATCGCTCCGGTCTCATAGGGGAAAATACTAATTGTTAAACATGTCGACAAAAGATCGAGTGTTCAAGCAAGTGTTTAAGCAATGTGCTTAGTCATTTTAAACTCTAGATCGAGAAAGAAGATCTAATGCCTTGTACCATGGAAGGGCTCGATTGGTCGTTTGTTGATCGATTGGCTGGATTCGTTTATCAAGGAGGAAGATGGTGTTGATATAGATCAAAGCCCGGTTGGATGATCTGGTGCATCATTATAAACTTTGAGCAAGAGTATGAGCTTGGTGCCACCAATTACTCAAAGTAGTAGTATATTTTAACTTGTCAGTTTAAAGTTCAGTTAGCTTCACTGATCAGTCGAAAATTGTTGGGATGGTCTAGTTTTTTTTGGTAGAAATGGACTGTTTTTTTGCTCATTAGGAATCCATAGACCATAGCTTAAGGCTGAGGGAAATCCTCGAAGTGGCAGATTGCTGTTGAGGAATCTCTGATTGGAATTTCTATCCTTCTGGAATAGTCCTCTGTCATTATATCATGCTTGGTCTTTACAAATCATGTCATCAACTTCGAGTCATGCTTGGTTACAAGCTTCAAGACAATAGAAATGTTCAGAGAAGGGAAGAACCAGAAAGCATTAAACAAGTGAAGTATGTATGTATTACAGAACCAGTATAAACAACATTAAGCTATCTTTTTCTACTTGCAACTCATTCAGACGGTTGACTAATCGATCCCTCCACCATTCTGTTCCTTTTTACAGATAAAATTACTTCTCAGAATGGTTATAGATATTTATCTCATCTTACAGCTTTTTTCATAATAACTGAAAGTACAACATCAAGGACTATGCACAAGAACATAATTGAAACAAAGACCGATTGTGGTTGGGCATATGAATCATCAAGGTGACTTTGTTGCTCCGAGGATCTTGGAAAGCGCTGTGATCATTGGCTTCTCCTTGATTTCTTCATGTCGATCTAGCTGCCACTTCTTTGATTTCTCTTCAGCCTGTCCATATGAAAAAAACAGAAACTTAGCAGCCAGCCTAGACAAGAATAGTTTCTGAACGATGAAGACTTCAAACCGATTTACCCAGGCTTTGAATGGCATCAATTGCTCCCTGATTACATCGAACTTGGGCTGAACCATGTCTTTCCCTTTGATACGGATATCATCACCCTGTCAGAAAATGCAATTTTCTTCAAAGGATTGTCCAGAAATGGTACTTATTTTGCAATTGAAGACAATTCATACGAGGCCAACTTAGCTTACATTCTGAAGCTCCAGCTTGGACACTGCTAAACCAAACAGCACAGCAGAACCACCAAACACAAGGGCAGTAGCTACTGCAAATGCCTTCCCAACTGCCACCAGAAGAAGAAACCAAGTTTTCTAACTCAATTGAAATTCGCAATCAATCTTTTCGACTGGAGAATAGAGAAGAAAACGAAGGAAAACTTACTGTTAGCAAGACCCTCAGCAGCAGCCTTCAACTTCTCAGGATTCATAGGGGTATACTTGTCTTTTCTCAGCTCGTTCGCCGTCGACGCCGTCATCGAATGCTCCTGATACGGCAATTCCCACCTGCGAAAAGTCCCCCAAATTGAAACCCCAGAAAAGGAAACTGATCCAATTGGGCAAAGGCGGTCGATTCGGGTCCTAAAGAGATTACCTTTTGGGACCAAAAGTGACCTGAGGCAGAGAAACATAAGCCCGGAGGGGATTGAGTTTGTCCGGCGAGACACCCGACCCGTTTTTCTGGTCGGAGGGGAGAACCCACTTGGACCCGTTGGAGAGGGTGGAGGAATCCGACGGCTTACCGAAGATTCCGGACGGGAGTGAATGCCTCAGAACTTCCGGAAGCACGTCCGATTGGGGAACGGAAGGCGGCGGGGCTAGGGTTGCGGCGGTTGGTTTGGTGGTGGTGGTGGCGGCGGGGGATTTCTCGACGAGACGATTGACGGCGTGTTTGGATTCCTGGAAAAAGTAGGCGCCTTCTTTTCCCGCTAACCTTCCCGCGAGAAAACTCATGTCTTCGGTCCCTGCTTTGAGCAATTTGCTCGTTCGCGGTCTCTCACTCTCCGTCTCTGGATTTCATAGGAAAGTGGGAATCCAAACGGTTCGGTTTTTATAACCTCCTCCCGGATGAGCAATTTGACTATTTAGGGGTTGTTTGCTTTATGTATTTAAGAGCAACAAATTCATAGACTCATAGATTTTAATGGTCCAAATCTTTAAACAAGAGAGACTTGAAAATTTCACCATTTAGATGGAAACCCCACTATTACATGCTCATATCTAAATGCCAAGTGAAAAATGAGGTATTCACAACGAGTTGTTGCGTTTCAAATTGAAATACTACTAAATTATCGACGGGTTGGTTTTAGAATTGAAATACTAAGGTCAAATAACCTGAGATCATATATTCAAGCTTTACTGTTAGTCGATACTTAACATGAAATTGTCCAATTAAGTAATAATTAAAGCCGATGATATGTTTAGGGTTTCAGGTAATACAATGTAGTGTTTTGCCTCAAATATTTATCAGATGTAAGTTAATGTAAAAAGCCGATATCGATAGAAGAAGAAGTTGTAACCATATAAATCTTCAACTGTAGATAAATTTCTTGCAGTTGAAGAAAGAAGAAAGATCTTCATTATTCACCACAATATTGTTGTTATAATAATGTCCTTATTATATATGTAATTGTTTATAATAACATTTCTTGGATGATAAGTATGATAAACTTTTAGTTTATTATGTGGTCAATTCTCTTGATCCAACTAGAATTTGACTACTAAAACTTGAGGAGTAAGCTAGCTTTGAGGTGCAAAATTGAGAGTTGAGACAGCCTTTACGAATAGACGTGGCTACTGGCTAGTACTTTATATCCTTTTTTGTTTGTTTGTGAAACATCAATTTTATTTCTAATCGAACCACTATTTTGTGTTTTGATTGTAAACAGAAAAAACCCACTATACAGTGCTTGCCTCTATAAAAGCATGCCAACGGGATGACCAATTCATATTACAATTTGCATGACTCCAAGGCATATAAATCACACTGCTCAGCCAATATTGTTATATAATTTGATTGAACGTAAATCATTATGATTTTAATAATCAATCTTTTTTTGTATTTGTGATATTGGAGAAAATTAAAAAATCTAGTTGATAATTGTTGGTTGTCTTATAAAAAAAATACTATACCTATATAAAATTTTAACGACCTAACAATTTGGTATCAAATGATAATTATTTGACGTTAATAGTGACCGAGACATAGATCTCCATATAGAAAATTAAAGAAATCATATACTAGTTGTTCCCTTTTTCCTCCCCCTATGAACAAGCTCCATTGATGGGTAGCTTAGTTCAATGTATTTTTCTTTGATGTAATCACGGAAGTAGTTACAATGTATTGTTTGTATAACTACATTAAATCTCCTCTCCTCCTATGTGGATGCTTTTGATAGAGTTTGTTGGTCTCAGTACTGCAAAGATTGGAATGGTAAACAAGGAAATTGGTATTAACTCTTTCCTTCTCCCTTTAGGAAACTTTATTTTCTACTAAGTTCGAGATGTTGGAGGTTGATGATCCATATAAGAGTGGAAAAATCATGAGAAAATGCCGAAGAGGATTTTTGGTGGGAATTAAACATGGCAAGGGGATACTTCACCAAGATAAATGGGCGTCTTATTCCTACTACTGTTTGGTACAGTTTTTACAAGATTAACTCAATTACAAGAATTATACATGGCTAGAGGATTTCAAGTTGTAGTAACCTTACTCAAAAACATCAACATGCCTCTACATGTGAGGGGAAACCGAGATTATGATAGCAACTTTATAATTATTACAACCTAGGTGGGAGAGATATGAAGCTAATTAAGTGTTGGACTGAGAAAGAAGCTCACAAATATGATAAACTGAATGATCACTATTGGTGGGAGAAGTGGGCAGAAATTGTGATGGGAAAGAACCCATTCTCAAATGGTCTGTGCTCACCCGGTTCTTACTTTTTGTTAGTTTTCTAGTTACCTCTAAGGAGGGATGTGCATTTGATGCGATTTAATAGCTATAAAATGTATTTTCACTTGATTGAAATGTACCACAGAACAAAGTGCTCTGACCTGTGGTTTTATTTATGGTCAGTTTGTGATTACCCTAAACCGAAATAACGTGGTGGCAATTCAAAACTGCAAACCATTAAATTCTATTCTAAATATTATGAATGCATCTACATCCATCTGATGATTCTGTTGCCAATCAAACACAAACTCATGCACTATCACACATTAATTAAGCATCAACATCAAGATGTTTGTCGAGTGCATTAATCATTCTAAATTTTCATGTTAATAAGCATGAAATATTGTGTGTTCTATGAAGGACTATCCAATCCCCAAATCTGATAGACTAACAAACTACTGAAACCAAGCTCTACTCTCCTATTCCTCATGTGAAAATTGTGCCACAAAGCAGTATGATATAGGAAAAGAGTTTGTACATAGTAACAAATCATCGTAAAACTTACATAAATAATTCTAACATACCGTTTGATATAAATGAATTTCATAAGTTTTGTGGAATTCATTTTGAAATGAAATATTTTTTTGTTTGGTATTTAAAAGAATTCATTTTCAATTCTAAATTTTGAATTCTATGGAATTGAAACTAGTTATAGCAATTCCGAGGAATTGAAATGAAATTTCCAAATGAATTCCACAAGTATTTACTAATTATAATAGAATGATATAATTATCCTCTTTTATTAACTAAATTACTTATATATATGACATACCAAACACAGAAATTCATTTGACAATGAATTTTGCACGACAATTCATTTGACAATGAATTCTGCACGATAATTCATTTTATTTCTAAGGATTTTAATATGACATAACAAACATATGATTTCATTTGACAATGAATTCTACAGGATAATTCATTTTAAAATGAAATGAATTCTTGATTCATTTGGTACCAAACATTCTGTAAAAATTCATTTGACTTATTTTCATAATTTGACAGCCTCGCTTATTTCCTCTAGTTGGGTTCCCCTTTTGCACCCAAATAGCCCGGTTTATAACCCTCAGGTCATTCCTGTTGGGGGGGATCCAAAGGTGGGATTGGTTATCTGCCAAGGTGAGGGGAGATGGTGTGATGAGAAGCTCCTGCAGTGGTTTGCTCCGGAAGTGTGTCGTGTGATTAAGTCTATTCCCCTCCCACGTAGGGATGTAGAGGATAGGCTAATTTGGCACATGACAGCTGATGGTCTCTTTTCCGTTAAGTCGGCGTACCACCTTGTTGTTTTGATTGATAAACAGGAGGGTCGGTGGAGACCCGTGGTTAGCTGGATGGATAAGCCAAGTTGGATTCGTTTGTGGAATGCAAATATCCCTCCGAAACTCAAAGTGTTCCTGTGGCAAGTGTTTCGTCGCATCCTTCCGACGACCAAAGCGTTGATCGAGAAAGGCGTGGACGTTCTCCCGCGTTGTCCTGTCTGTTGGGCGGAGAAGGAGACGATGGAGCATTTGTTCTTTGACTGTCAGGTGGCCAGGGCCCTTTGGGATCAGGCGGGGTTGGGCCATCTTGGTCAAGGATTGCCGCGTCATACCTTCCCTCTTTTTTTGAAGAATCTGTTGGGTACGCTTAATCAGCCCCATTCGTTCATGGCAATGGCTGCCGTCCTGTGGCGAATATGGCGGTCGCGTAATTGGGTGGTGTTTGAAGGCAAACAATTTGGGATTCCAGCATTACTACGACAATATTACCAGCAATATCAAGAATGGGTGCGCCTCCCTGTGGACCCGGCTCCGGGTGTGCCCCCCATTCCCACTCCTGTGGGTACGTCCACTGGTGAGCAGTCAGTTACCTGTATGTGGAATGGGGCAATCAAGTCAGGGTCTCATTCGGCGGGTGGGCTTGTGCTCAAGGACTCCAACAGGAATATTTTGCTGGTTCGTGGTGTGCAGTTCCCGGATCTTGACATCCCCTTGGTGGCTGAGGTGTTGGCTCTTCGAGAAGCAGTGACATGGTGTCTAGAGTTGGGCTTTCATGATGTTTGTTTCCAGGGGGATGCTCAGATTATCATTGATAAACTTACGCGACAGGATGCGAGGGATGTTCAAATAGGGGCGATGTTGGAAGAGATCATCGGGGTGCTTTCAAGTCATAGTGCTTTAAGTGTTCGTTTTGTAGGTCGGAGTAACAATAGGGTAGTCCATTTGGTGGCTAGAAAGGCCCTTGATTTGTACCCGGCTACATGCCGTTCTTTTGATTTCCAGGCCTGACTGGTTTCCAGGATGTAATACCTTTTTATCCAATCAATTTATGTGATTATCTTTTGAAAAAAAAAAAGAATGATGTACTTACTTGAAATCTAGGCCGTATCAATTAATCTAAGGCATAATACTAACAAAGGGTCTGTAATTCTATTTGTGTCATTGTGTCTCGTGTTTTTGACACGCCAAAATTTCACATCCTATTGAGATTCTAAGCCATTTGTGTCCTCAAGTATTGTGTTGATGAGTGTCAAAGTTAACTGTTGACCAACTCTATTCAAACCTACATGGTTTTTCTTGGTTAACACTGCTCTCCACCAATTAATATATATAAATCTGAAGTAAGATTACTTTTGCCTAAAAAGTTACATTTTGATATCCCAAATTTAATTAAATCACAATTTAGTAACTATAATATAGATTTAACATTTTGATACCCAAAATTTAATTTTTAATGTAAAATCATTGAACAATTATGCTTTGGTATCTAAATTTTATGAGATTTTCGTACTTACAATTTTTAAATTTACATATTGGTACAATGTTTAGATTTCACTTGAATCCAATCCACCAATCCTTTTGAACCAATCCATGAATCCAATCCACCATAACATAAAAGTATAGATTTAGTTTGTACAATACAAGATGTTGTATTACTCAAGTGTAGAAGAAGATTCGACAATTTCATATTTGCTCATTACGTGAAACATTAAATAAATGATAAAAGAGAGACGACTCTAAAATATTGCAAGAACGAATATATAAACTCATTTTGTAGATTTACGGGGTACTAAACAAACTTCTACTAACTACATTAACAAAATATGTGGCATCTACATAAACAAG